TAAAAATAATTTTTTTACAATTTTAAAAAGTTTTTAAACGTATAACAGCTTGTTTTTTTAATATTTATTTTGAAATAATTATACGCAAGAATTAATTTTAGTAGAAACACCTGTAAAAAAATGTCTCAGAAATTAAAATGTGAATTAAATCATTTAAGAATATCCTCTGATGTCGTTTTTAAAGTATTAATAAACATATTTTATTCAATTTTAAGTAATACAAATTAAGGTTTTTAAAATTCAACCCAAGAATAATATTAAATCCTGCTATAAAAAGATGCACAATAGCATAATTATCCCATTGCAAAAGCCTTTGGCACTTCTAAACAAACAAAAAAATAAATTCCAGATCTTCTTTGTCTCCCTTTTGCTTTTTAAAAATATTTACTTGTTATTTCCTTCTTTACCCTTGGCCTCCAAAAAGTGCAACCCGGCAGCTCGGCTTCGTTCTGTGCTTTGATTACCAAGGCACCCGAGCTGCCTTGTTGCCTTGACTTTTGGCCACCACCACCGCCGTCGCCGTCATTCTGTTTTTCATTTACGTCTCTGAATTGAATCAAGTTTGCCTCGTTTCCGGTGAACGCGAATCACTCTTTTTTCGTTTCTTTTCATTCTTATTTTTTTCAGCTTTTTTGTTAAGTTTCTTTGGCTGCAGCCCTGCAGCCAAGTTTTTTCCGCCGGAAAACACAACATCCGCTTTTTATAAATTCTCAATTGTGCGCGAAAGGGCAACACAAAGGGCGGTGGCTACAAAAAAAAAAAAAAAAAAACCAAAGAGTAGCCACAAAAAAAAAAAAAAAATGAAGTGACAATCTAGCACAGCCATTTTCACGATTGTTGCTCCATTTTCGTTGATTTCCCGGATCGCTGATGTCGCCTTTTTGCCCACGAGGCTCGAACAGGTGACACTCTGACAGTTGGCAGTCATTTTAAGTGGATTTTCCGTGACAAGAAATGCGTGTGTGTCTGTCTGTCTGTGTTTCCTTCGCTTCTAAGTGCGCACTGAAAAGTGTGCTATGCATCGCAATATGCTTGGCCTGAGATTGATGGAATTATGGAGATAGAAGCACTAGAAATATGAGAAAAAATATGAAATATTTTCCATGTTTTCGCCTTTTCTTGATAAAAAAATATTTGATTTTGCCTAGAATAATTTTAGCTCTTCCCAGGGAACTATAGATCTTGTTTCCCTTCTCTTAGGAATTATTTACTGGCATTTCTAAAATTACTTTATTAAAATTAACTGCAATTTGCTTTTACCCATTTTTCTGGCTTGCTATCAGGATTTAATGCAAGTAATTAAATATATACACAACTGGATCAAGAGCAATTAAAGCACCTGTAACTACTACTAAATGTGCACCATATTTTCAAGGACTAATTTGTACAAATTTGCATTTAATGTCCACACACACAGCCAGCTGACATCGAAAATTGAATTGAAAAACAAGTGAGAGAAGGGGAAAATTTAATTTTGGCTCCCCCTTTTTTTCGCAGCAATTTATGCCCTATGAATATGTGTGCTATGGCATTAATTAAAAGCGACTTCATTCTGCGGTGCTTTTTGGGGGCCAGGAAATGCTGTGGTAACGACAGGGCGTGGCACAGGGTGCACTGGCTGGCTGCCTTTGACCACAAACAACATTTATGGGCATTACGCATAGAGTTGCTGTGTTGTCCGCCTGTCTGCCTGCATGCAAGGAAAGCTTCCCCGCAAAACACGCAGTACACTCACACACACACACACAACCGGTGTGCTTAATGTGCTCTTTAAATGGTTTCGTTATGGTTGTTTATTTACCCAACCTTCTTTCACTCTTAGTTATGCAGAAATTGCCACGAAATTTGCTTTAATGTTTTCCGAAATTGGTTGGTGGAAAGCTTAGGAGTTGGTAGTTAGTAGTTTATTAAAGATTGGTTAGCTTAATATATATTTAAAGCTTTAAAAACAGAGGTTTTCAGTGATAACCTCATCTGAAATAATTAAAAAAAAAAAGGTAATACAATGAATAAGATGGAATTTGTACTAATTGCTACAAAAATGACAATCTTTCGTTTTTCATAAATTTCAGAGAGCATAAAATTCTATACACAGAAAAAGCAAGTGCGTATGCATCCATACAGATCTAGACTGCTTGAGAGAACGTACACACTCAGTAGTAGCTTTTGAAACTCTCTCGCTACTCTCTACTCTCTCTCCCTCTGCCTCTCTCTTTGGCTTTCCAAGAGAGCTTATGGTTCTCCTAAGCCGTTACGCATCTTAAGGCTTATATTTCTCTTTTTTTTTAAACCTTTTTTTAAACTTAACCCAACGTTATTTAAACTTCCTTAGAAAAAACAAGCACTTATGTGATAACACTCCTCATTTTTATGTCCACTTGCAAACCTTGGGTGCTATTGACAGCATCTGCTGTACGCCAACAGCTGACCTTTCCGACAGTTAACCATCACAACTCTGGCGAACTGCATCCATCAAACTCTGAACTGCACTGGATCGATTGGATGAGGGGAATAATAATGGGTGTGTGTGCGTGTGTGCTGCTTGGACCTGGTCGAAACGATTTGTCTGGCGGCCAACTTTGGCATTGGCCACAGCCAAATGACATTGCATGTGCCAGTGGCAGTGAAAGAGCCACCGGAAGGGGGCCACATCCTCTCTGCTGCTGGCTGTGACACGTTGACGTCCGAGCACGCATATCCGTTTCCTGCCAATGCCCGTCATAAATAACAATACAGAGGAGTGTATTCGTATGGAAAGTGGGGCTGAGACGGGGTAATTGTGATGGCTAGTAGAAGGAGGCGGAAGATGGCCAACAACAGATCATATCGAAGTGACAGACAAATGACAGTGCACCAAACTCTGACTGACCTTTGGCTTTAATTATATCCATTAAAAACAAATTTAAAGTGCAATAACTTTATTATTATCATTTAAAAGTTTCATACCTGAAAGAATGACACAGCATGACCTTTTCTTTTAATTATTTGAGCTCGAAATTAATCCCAGCCAAAGAGTACGCCAACTATTCTCCACCAAGTGACACTTTAATAGTTTCAAGCCCCGGAAAAGTATGCAGTCTAGCTAGCTAGGCTAGGCTGGCATGGTGGAAAACTCTGTTGGCAGGCAACCAACTTGCTGACAACACTGCCAAAAAAGAGACGAGAGCTGTTGCAGAATTAAGCCATAAAAGTTTTTACACCTTCTCTCACACACGCAGAATAGGTTGTCGTCTCTCCTCCTTCGTTGGGTTTTTCCACATTTTCCGGTACCCACTTTGCTGTCAGCAGTTTTGCACGATTTCGGAGGGGGGTTTGCCTCGGCCCATAATGAAACACTTTATCATTACCAAAGTTGACAGGGCTTGGAATGAGCTATACAGCAGACGGGAAAACACTTTGAATAATTATGTAATATTCTATTTTTGGGAAAGGATCGCAGAAAATGAGTTATTGGTTTAATTTTGGAATAAGAAGTCAATGTTAAAATTTGATAGTCTAAGCTTTTTATAACATAGTTGTTGGAAAAAGTTTTAACCAAGAAATAGGTATTTAAAATGGGAAGACAAATGACTTAAGGTTTTGGTATAAAGTTTCAAATATTTTAAGTATTAAATATTAATTACCACAAGTTAATGTATGAACTATAGTTTTTGAATAAAAATATAATAATAAAACATATTATAACATATATGTACGTAATATTTCATTTAATAATTTAATTTTTAATTTTAAAAAATATTTTAAACATGACTATAAGCCTAGTGACCGTTTAAATTAAAACTAACATTTATGTATAATTATTATTTCATTAATATTATTATTAATAATCATTAATTATATTAAATATAATTTATACAATAAATTAAAATTTAATAATTCATTCTATTCATTTTTTTATATTTAAATTTATTTGAAAAATGAGGTTTAGTTTAAAACTCAATTAAAATTAATTTAATTAATTTATTGAATTAATTCTATAATAATATTTAATATATGTAATTTTAAAAATCAGTTTATGATTTTATTAATTTTAAAATATTTAAAAAATATTTTAAACTTCCTTTTTAGTTTAATAAACTCTTTAAATTCAATTCAAGATTAATTCATAATTAATTCTATAAATTTATCTCCCAATATCACTATTAAATTGCATTTTCCGCTGTGCATTCAGGCCACTTTTCGGGCCAGGACCTAGTGAAAAATGCTTGCAAATATTTTTAAAGCCAAATATGGGGGCCACATAAAATATTGACATTGACAGATTAGCTGCTCCTGCCTGGCACACATTCTCATTATTGAGTTCGTTGCAATTAGCACTTCATTGGTGAAAAAAAAAACACAGGCACTGAAATCGAAACCTCAATTGAAACTATGACTAATGATAAATGATGTGTGTGTGGAGTGTCAATTGCAGGCACTACATGGCTGAGAAATGGTTTTAAAATGCAGGCGAGGTTTTTGGCTCGTCACGATGATCTTGGGTATTAATTCAAAGCGTTTTTACATCGACCAATTGAATTAGTCGACAAATAGAGTGCACTGAGGGAAGCCTTTCAATTGTCCTTAGCCTTAACTCCTGCTTCCAGCACGTCTTTGGTGCAAAGTTTAAAGTTTTGGCCAAGCTGTCGCTGAGTCGAGCATCAATAACGTGCTGCTAAAACTTTGCCACAAACTCTGGAATATCCTGTCACTCTAGAGGACATCTAGGCATCCTGTTCCATCTCTGCTTCTCTTTCTCTCTCAGCTTCATTGATATGCCAAAAGTCGAATTGTAAAGGAGACCCTGGTGCGTCCAAGTTCTTTGTGTTTATCTGACTTTGATGGCAAGACCATCGAGAACCTTGGACTGCAGTTTAGTTAGGATATTTTTAAGCTACTGTTGAATTTGGAAATTTGGAAATGGGTTAAAGCTGTGGCTAATAGTTACCCAGCCAAAAGGTAGGATTACGGGAAATTATTTTGGGAAAAATGTAACCACTCTTTACCAAGAAAAGATACAATTTATAACACTCTAAAATTTATTGATTGTGACAGCCGAAAGTCTGATTAATCTGTCAGCAATTTAGATACTTTAGGCCTTGAGACGCCTCTCTGATACTGTCCTCCGGCCCCCGGGATATGGCCAAGACAAACGTGAAACAACACAAACATTCAATATTGCGGTTCTAGTAGATAAAATGGTCATCAACGTCATTTGTATGAACGATTGAAGCCAAAACATTAATACGCCCCGGGGCATCAGAGTCGTCCGTTAGTGAAATGGAACCAAACTTAAATAATTCCCAGAAACTGGCCAGGTCGTCGTCGTCATCATCATCCTATTTGGGCGTTTCTGCAGGACAGGCCATTTGATAAAGGAACTGCACCAGCGTTCTTGTTGGCCGTCCGGTCATCCGTCCGGCGGTTAGGTAAGGGACCAAACCATAGGTGCTCAACAGTCCAGTGCCATAGGTATCAAGATGCGCCCAGTCGCTGCAGGGCACCAGTTCGTGAAGGACGGCAGCGGCCAAACAGGACGAGGCGAAGCCATCGCCATCGTTCAATAGATCGAAGCTTTTGTGCTCGGCAACACGGTCCTTGTAGTAGCGCCACAAAGGGAAGCGCCACAGACGATCGCCGGTGAGGGAGCCGGCCCTTTGGAATTGCTTCCAGATGTAGTGGGAATTTGACCAAATTCCAGTGGCCCCACCACCAACGGCCTTCTTCACGCCTTTGCACATTGAACCCACATCCACGACAAGCCGTGGCTTGTATGTCATCTGTCCATAGAGCATGGGATCGGCAAGAACCACCACACCGGTACGACTGATATTCCTGACGGCCATGGACTTGGCATTGAGCAGTGTCACCACATCGCCGGGCTTGCAGGACATTCCCGATGGCATATTTTCACAGAGCGGAATCACAGCGGTTATGTTAATGGGCAGGGATAAGGCTGCGGCGGCTCGCATGGTGGCCAATATGCTGGCGGCGCCTGTGAGATCGCCACGGAACTCATCCATACCCTTGGCCGGGCGGAGGTTGATCCCGCCAGAATTAAAGGTAATGCCCTGCCCGACCAGCAGGATGGGCTTATCCTCGGGTGCAGTGCCACAGTAGGCGACCTCCAGGAACACCGGTGGCTCACAACTGCCCTTGGCAATCATCAAAAACGAGTTGAGATGCTGCTGCTCGATCCACTCCATTGTACGGACTTCCACGGAGATGCCACACGGACACAGAGCATCCACCGCTGCCTGAGCCACCATGGTGGGTGTCATGCAGTTGGCCGGTGCATCACTGAGCCTCCTCGCCAAGTTTTGGGATTCCGCCTTGAACAGGCCACGCGTCCAGGACTCCATGTCGGGTGAACCGAAGAGCATCAGCTTGGGTATGGTGGTGCGGTACTTCTTGGACAGATTCTCCTCATACCGCCAGATGGCCAAGGCTGCTCCCTCGGCAGCCTGCTCCGGATAGTCCATATTGTCCACATGCACCTCCACGCACCCGATGCTCTGCAGGGATCGGGCACCGATGCCAGCGGCAACTCGGACATTCTCCATGCCCTCGTCGAGCATCTCCAGTTCATTGAAGGCGATCCCCTCCAGACCCACACCGACAATGCAAATGGATCGATAGTCGGGGTCCACATTGTTGAAGACCTTTCCGCGACCCAGTCGACCGGTGAGCTTCGTCTCGCAGATCATCTCGGTTAGCTTGCCCTGGACCCGCTCGTTGACTGTCTCGCCGGCGGGCGTGAGCCTGGGCCCCTTGCCGGCTTCCTCCTCGTAGAGGCCTAGGACCACGCCCTTGCCGCCCTTGGGGGCATCGCCGGCACCACAGCCAGCAGTGACATGGCGCACGGGCACATAGCACATCCGAACGCGTGTCAGTTGCACCCTCTTGGCCAGGGCAACGCCGCGCATCATTCCTCCGCGCATTTTGTCTCGGAAATTATTAGTTAACAAACGGATGGAATTGACCAAAATTTGAAATATGTATTTGTTGAGTGTCTTATGTGCGCGTTGGTGTTTGGATAACAAGTGTCGATAATTTTGTAACGCTTATTTTTCAAGCATTCAGGGTTCAAAAATATTTCCGTTCAAAATGTGTAATAGAAAGTATTAAAAGGTTAACACGGTGACTGCTTTCGTTATACAAAACCGAATAATGACTGAAAACATCATCCGAACGGGATTGTTATTAACTGAAAAGAAATGGAATACTAGATCTGAGAAATTTTCTTAAGGAAATTTTGAGTTAAGGTTATGGGGAATGGAAGGCAGAAGGGTTAAGGGAAAAGGTTATTTATATAAGTAGTGGACAAGATACTATTGCATTTTAAGATATATTTCTCATAAGGAACACTCCATATTCCTTAGGGAACTGCAAGAATCCATCACGAATATTTAAAAATTGTTTCCATATATATTTAAATATTTTTTACTAAGTAAAAAGAGCAGGTTTAAGATTTATTTAATATTATTTTTGTTATTAATTTTCCATATATAAATAAAATAAAATAGAATAGAAATTTAACAAAAATTAAATAAAATAAATAATAAAAAAAAAATCTTGAATAAAAACTAGTTCCAACTTAAAATATATCAATTTAATTTTAAAAAGTGGCAGCACTAATTTAAAATTTAAAAATAAAGTTGTCTTTAAAAATACATTGAAAGTGTTCTAGAACTCTCCAAATTTTTATTCTTTTAACCAAAATACTACCCTATAAGTTGCAAAAAAATGTCAAGGATACTTACCAGTAAATTAAAGCAGTATTGGATTGAATATGGGGAATTGGAGCCTTTCCGTGACTCGGAATAAACACAGGAGCAACTTTCTGAGTGTATGTGTGCTTATTCCCTATCTCGTAACTGGCACAGCTCCCGATGATACTGTCGAGGGCACTGGCCCGAATCAATCAAGATCGAAACGCGACGAACGTTGGTTTTTGGAAAATTGAAAATGAACTGTATATGATTTTGTCGAGGTGTAATTGTGAAATTTTCACGGTGAGTTTTCTCGTATTTAAAGTGAACTGAAATAGTTTGAGTGGCCTGTCAGTGTTGTTAGGATGAGAAAAACTCATTTTAAGAGAATTCAAATCAAAGGTTTACTTGTGTTTTTATTAAGTTTTTTTTGTTTTCGCAAAAGAAAAAGCTATTGCCGCACATATTTCCCACGTGGAGGCAAAGTTTTTCCCGACAATAAACAGCCAAGCGTTGGCAGAAAAGTTCATGGAAAAGTTTACTCTAGCCTTTTGTTGATAGAAAATGTCGTTTATTGTCGCCGAGCGACAATACAGAAAGAGTAAACAATGGCAATACAGTTGATAAATTAAAACAAACCATTTTTATTGCACAAATTAAAGTTGTGCATGCGCAACAAACCTTGTAGAATTTTTCTTTTTAAATACAATTAAACATAAACACCAATATTTTCCTTTTTTAAGTTGCACTTTAATAAATTTGGAACTGAAAAAGTAACAAACAAGCTTTTTTCAGTCCAACAAATTAGTCTCGTAAGTGATGAAATTTTCGCGTATTGTTGACGACTTCTCAAAGGAACCACTGTCGCCAGTGATCTGCATCCAATAGGGGATTACCGACATGGTTAAGAGGCGGCGCCAAAAGAGAACCTGTAGCTCTGCATATAGCTGAATGATCTGCCAGTTTGTAAAGCAAAAATGCTGAATCACCAGATATAGGCGAATGTAGTTGATCAAGCCGTTGCAGAAACAGGTTAATGTCCAAGGAAATGCAAACCACATGAAAGTCCTGATGGGGAAACTAATCGATTCCCCTCCTGCGGAAGCCATTTGATTCCTGCTCAGCCATCTGTTTTTCACTTCCTCGGCACTCTCCTGCTCCTCAGATCCCTGCAGATGCCGACTGTACCAAAGTCCAACTATTGCCAGCATTGAGTACATCATCGACTTGACCAACATCCAGTGATTATAGTTGTAGCTCACTTGGAGCCACAAGCTTCGATCAACTGCTGGATAGGTTGCCTTCATATTGACATTGGCCTCGATCACCGGCTGGAGGACCATGCACACATGCATGGATGTCAGGAGCACAAAGATTCCCACATCATACAATTTAATTTTGAGCATTCTTTAGCGAATTTTGGAACCGAAAGATGGTAGTACTTTTTAAGACGAAAGTTTCACCTTGATGGCTGCCTAGGAAAAATACTCTGAATTTTTTTTTTTTTTAGATTTTCAAGCTAGAGAAATTGTTGATGGCTAACAAAATGGTTACTGGATTAGGAATGGCAATGGATATACTTATAATGTATCGAAAATCGATTTTTAAATCGTTTATGTAACGTTGCGATATATTTAGTACAATTTACATTATAAATCGAATAAATAAAATCAGAAAAAGTGATCAATACATAGCATTTTTTATGATATTTTAGAATATATTTATAAATTTGATACATCTTATTTTTGTTAAATTTTTAACTTTAATGATTTCGATATGATATTGACAGTGATATTTTTATCGGCATTTCATATCGGTTTATATTTCACATTCTAGCCAAATGTTCATTTAAATATATCTGGTGTAAAACTTCCAGAAAATAACTGAAAAAACTTGATAACTTGGTATTTCAATGTCGAGGCACTTGAAAGTTTTTCCTAGAAAAAAACCTATCTGAAATGTGACGGAATATAATTATATTCAACTGATAACATTACCAATTAGGTGTAACTTTAACGATTTCCGGAATAAACGTGAGCTTTATCTTAATTAAAACACATGCCAACGTCTCGGTTTTGACTATAAAGACCTCAGGTTTTTTCTGGAAATTGTCAGTTACTATTTTTAGTTTCTTAAAGTTCAGGACAATGTTTTGGTTATTAAATTTAATTTTGCTGGTCATTGTTAATGCTCAGGACGATAATGCTGAACCTAAACCTCCGGCAACAGAATCTCCAGTCCGTACAACACAAATGACTTCAGCAACAACCTCTGCTGGGACTGCACCAACAACAATAAAGGAAAGTATAGGCCATATATTAAGGGAAATCTAAAAAAAAACTTCAAGTGCTCTTACAGAATGGAGACAAGCCTGACGACATAGACCAATTGCTTAAGGATATTTTAAGTACTTATGAGCCCGATTGTCAGGGAAATGCAGAGTTAACCTCTGAGTTGGACAAAATTCGGTTTGTTCTCAAATTGGGAGATGAGTTCAAAGGACTAAAAATTAAAGTCCTTACGGATTTTAAAGTTTACAATGCACTACGGTTGGCTCTGGAGCAAAGAATTAGAGAACGCATTGATGCGCTCAATGATCTGCTGCCAACTCTCTTACCAAATAGCAAATGTTCTCGGTTCTACTTAAAGCAAAGAAAAGTCCTCAAGGAAATTGGAAAGCTTAGCAATGTTGAAAAACTAGCCAAGTTGTTGGAGAACTCGGCCATATGCCCAACCTCCGTTTTAGATTACAGTGATGAAGATTACTATTATTTTGACGATGACTTGAAAAAGAAGTAATTGTATTTACTTTATTTTTTAATTTCTTTGAAATTTTTAATATTTTCTTACTTCTGATTACTTACACTCAAAAATCAATTTTAAAAATGTGTAAATGAATTTCTAACAATAAAAAATTATGTTATTTGAGTGGACAAAAATTGACTTTCTTTTTAAAAAATAAGTTTATGGGATTTTTTAAGGTAATAAATAAAATAATTAAATATTTTTTTATTTACTACCTAGTATACTAATGGCATTTCAAAAAAATTTTGAAAATTTAATAAACTTTTAATTATAATTAAGGTTTATTATGTATTCTATAAGATTAGGGTTAATAATTTAAATTATTAAAATTATTTAAAAAAAAAATCATTACAATTTCTAGAAATTACTTTTGTTTCCTTGAATTTCTTATTATTTGTTTTAAGCATTTTTGATGAATATAGAAATTTAAATAGCCCGCCAATTTATACAGTTTGGGAGTTACTGGCTGGAGTTTTCTCAACACTGTTATTTGGTATTTTTCTACCAGATGTTAAAATATGAAGGTACTTTCGATTATAAACGATAAAAATAAGTATAGATGAAAAATTAATAGTAATATTTTAATACTAAACAAAAATAGGTCGGTATTTGAAGAAATTGTGGTTTAGATTAAAATATATTTTTAATATTAAATAAATAAAATCCAAGTTACCTTAAATTTATTTTTATAATTTATAAAATTTACGTTTAATATTTTTTATTAAAATTTTTTCACGTTTTTCAATGAAACCCGTTAATAGGTGGGATTAAAAAAAAATTATTTATGGTTACATATTTTAAATATATGTAATTATATTATTTAGTATTTTAGGAGTGCAATCTGTCATTTAAATTTAAGTGATTTCTCTTGGTAAAAGTATTATTTATATTATAATTCAATACTTTTAAAAGAAAAACAAGTTTAAATGTATTTAATCGTGACTAAAATCATCGTAACCGATGGAAGCAAAGTGCCACCTCTAATATCGATAGTTGGAAAGTGTAAAATATCGATAGTGCCAGTGCCACCAGCGTCTCGTGCCTTTTTCCATCTCTATTCCGGCATAAATTGCAGCAAACCAAAACGTTTTGAAATTGTTAACAACAAAAAAGTGTAAAATCCTTTGAAATGCAGCGCGAAATAGCGCACAACCTGGCGACAGGTGAGCGGCGCACCAAGGATGTGGCCCCCGGCAAGGTGAAAACCTTTCCCGAGCTCAACCTTCGCCATGAAATCGTGCTCGGTCTGCAGCGCAGAAATTTCCTGACACCGACCATGATCCAGGCGGCCGCCATACCGATTGCGCTGAGTAAAAAAGGTGAGCGCCTTGAATATGATGTTTATTTTAGAAATTACAACATAAATTTGCAACAGACACGCTTGTCCAGTCCAAGAGCGGCACTGGAAAGACCCTGATCTACGCCATAGCAGCCTTGCAGCGCTTTGACGCATCCATAAGGACACCGCAGGCCCTGGTGGTGGTGCCGACTCGCGAACTAGCTGTTCAGGTGAAGGATACCTTCATCTACGTGGGCGAATTCCTGCCTAAACTGAAGGTAAGCTACGTTATTGGCGGCATCGATGTCCACTCCGATCGCGTACGCATCAAGGACTGCCAAATTGTCATTGGAACACCTGGCCGCCTGTTACATCTCTACAGAAAGAATGTCCTTTGTGTCAAAAATATGCATCTACTCGTCCTGGACGAGGCCGATCAGCTGTATCTACAAGATGGTCTCCGCCGGCACGTTATGGAACTGATTCAAGTGTTGCCGCCGCCGCAGCAGATACAAAAGATTGCCTGCAGTGCCACCTACGAAAAGAATTTGGACGAGCTGGTGGCCAAGTCAATGCACAAGCCAGTGCTCATATCGAACAGTGAGCGGGCCACTGTCCTCCTGGGCATCCGTCAGTTTGTCTACGAGCTGCCCAGGCAGATCAACAACATAGCCCAGATGAACTGCAAGCTGGACGCAGTCATGCAGATCTTTAATCTGGTGCCCTACGAGCAGGTTGTGCTCTTTGCCAGCTCCAAAATGCGTGCCGATTCGTTTCGGAACTATCTGGCCAAGCGGGGAGTCGAGTGTCATTTGATTTCGGGTGCCATGAGCCAGGAGGAGCGTTCAAAGGTCTTTGATTGCTATCGTTACTTCACAATGCGTACTCTGGTGGCCACGGATGTGTTTGCACGCGGCGTAGACTCACCGCACACGAACTTAATAGTAAATCTTGATCCGCCCATGAATCATGTGGACTATCTGCATCGCATTGGTCGAGCAGGAAGATTTGGTTCAAAGGGTATAGCCATAACGCTGGTGTACGAGGGTGCGGAGAGCGAGGCATTCAAGGGTATATTGAGCAAGGCGCACACTGGCAAGTCGGTATTGGAGTTTCCCAAGGAGGCAGAGAAGGGTTTGGATTTTTGGAATTTTTCTTCGTATGAGTTTCCATATTACATCAAGGAAGAGGAGAGTGTGGAGTTGAAGGAGTTTCCCCAGATGGAAGGAACTTCAAAGGGAGCTGGTGGAACTGTGGAGGATATTGGAGAGGCTCCACTGAAGAAGGATGCTTTAACAGAGGAAGCTGAAAGAAAGAAAGATGCCTTAAAAGATGAAGAAGCTTCAGCGGATGTTGATTCTTCAAAGAAAATTGAGGTTCCCCAGGAGGTGGAAGCTTTGCCAGCTAAAGATGATTCAAAGAAGAATCCCATGGAAGAAGCGACTCCCAATATGCTGGAAAACGAGGCTAAAATCATAGATAAATTAGCTCAAATGGAGGAATGCTTCGAAGAAGAAGATCTTTCTAAGAAAGAAGATGCCACAAAAGAGACTTCAAAACAAAAGGATTTTCCTGCAAACGAAACAGATTCGAACCAATCAGCATCTTGTGCTCTCTCCCAAGAAAATCCCTTACCCAAACCAGATAAACCGGAAATATCTGTTATTGCTTGTCCTAAACTAAAGGAAACCCTTCAGGAAGCTTTAAAAGAAGACAAACTAGAGAGTAGCGGTGAAGAAGAACAACCAGATTCAATTTTAAAGGAAAATGTCCTTAAACCAAACAACTCTACAAATAAACCAGACAAAGACACCCACAAAGAGCAGCCTCCACCTATAATCAAGGTTACCAGACAAGAAACTGAAAACGACATAGAAAAGAACAAAGAAAATCAACCAAATAATCAGAATACCCAATACCCAGATAACTCAATTTCCCCAGAATTATCACCATCACCATCGTTGACACCTCTGGACTTGACACAAGAACAGACCTTGACTCCACCAGCGGCGCCAGTTAATTCCATTAACAACAAAACCTACTGCTTGGCAGCGCCAACTGCAACCAGTTCCCTGACCCTGCAGGCCATGGTCATCTCCAACACGGTGGACGATGCCAGCAGCATTAGCTCCGATGGCAGCATGGGCAGCAGGAGCGAGTCCTTTGAAAGTCTATATTCAAACTCTGATGTGAAACAAATGTGGAAAAAGTACTTGATAATCCGCAGGAGTCACAAGAGGAGCGCCAAGGTCCAGACTCCCAAGTTGATGTACAGCTGGGCAACTTGTAAGCCAGTTTTTCGTGTGAAACGCAAACGTAAAGTCAAGCCAAAGGTGAGAAAAGACAACAACAACACTTTATTTAATTATTAATTAATTTTAATTTACTTTTTACAGGAAATTCAAGTGGTACCCACTATATACCTTTTCCCAGAGCCGAAGTTTTTCCGTATTTTTGAGAAACTGGAGCAGAAGCAGACCATTATTAAACGCTTGTTTAAATACACTAAAAAATACAGAATGTGTAACCTGGCTAGCAATCTCTTCCTAAATCATCTCTATGATGCCTACAATGATATTTACGGCTTGAAATTTATGTCAGAGCCAAAGAAATCCAAGGAGAATGAGCCACAAAACAAGCTAACCGTACGTGAGGCTCATCGAATGAACATTCCACCTGTTTTAGCTGTCGATGAAGATCCTGCCACTGGCTCTGAGACTAGTCAACACTCTGAGGAGTTCACCGACCACGAAGATGATTATGAGGAAGAGGAGGAACTGGAGGAGGAATATTCATCAAGTGGCTTTGTGGAGAGCAATGAGAGTGCTTCATCCGGCATAGATACTTCGGTGTATAACAATGATTCCTCCAGCGAAGGTGAACATGAATATATATATTCTGAAGAGACCGATGATAGTGACACTACGGTGTACAGCTCCGAGTCGGAAGAAGCGGAGGAAGAGGAGGAGGAGGTGGAGGCTACCTACACAGGCAGCAACGTTAGCTTGGCTGGATCAAGCTATCAGGGATCTGTCAGCGCTGAGGATGATGAGAATGACCAGAGTGACAGTCACCAGGAAGTCCTAGCTTTATATCAGCAAATGTTCCAAACACAATATCAGTTCATTGCCGCCCATGTGGCCAGTCAACAGACCAGACCATAAAAAATGAACAAAATACTAGTCCCAAGCTCAGGTCACTAACAAAACGGATTAGTTCCAAAAAAAGAGGCTGCATCAGTCTCTCTTTTTTTCTTACATCTCTTTAAATATACATATGTAGCCTGTTAGCCTTGAATACTCATCATAAACAATATCAATTTAATGCCATGTTATGAACTCTAAATCGATGAACGATGAATGTTTTTGTACAAATGCAAACAAAAAAATAAACACAGAAAAATACATTTGTATTTAAGGTTGTAACTTTAACAATTGAAGTGAACTTTATATTTTATAGTAGTTAGTTATAGATTAATAGCTAAATGCTATGTGATACACAGAAAAAAAAAACACACTTTATTGGATATATAACAAGTTATATAAGGAAACAAAAAAATATATATTTTCTCAAAATCGAAACCATTGATGTGAATGCCTTCCCTATATTGGGAATTGAAGGTTTATGTTTAAAACAAATAATTTAAATTATAAAAAATATGAGAGAATGCATAACTCATTATGTTTTTTATGTTTTTTGTTAAAATTCAAAACTTTATCAAATAAAGAACCATTTCAAAGGAATATAATCTGTGTTTAAATGAAGGTTTACGTTAAAAAAAATAATTTAAATTATAAAAAATATGTGAGAATTCATAACTAAATAATTTCTTTATGTTTTTTTGTTATAATTAAGAAAAAATTCAAATAAAGAACAATTTGGAAGGAATATAATCCGTTTTTAAATGTTTTTGAATTTTGAGTGGGAAATTTTCTTATGATATATAGGAAATATATCTTGACAATATACTGAAAACTTTGATATATTCATTTCTCTTTATTTATATATATTTTTTAATATTAAATTTACTTTTTAAATATTTTCCGTATTTTTAGTTTTAATAAAAATATATATAGTTACATATTTATTATTATTTTTTTTATTGAAAATAATATCTCGCTTAAAATATTAGAAACTTTAATATATAATTTTTTTTTTATTTTCTTAAATATTAAATTTACTCTTAAAACTTATCCTTCATCTTTAGTTTTAATAATTTTATTTATAGTGACATATTTATTATTATTATTTGTTTATTCATACAATCACATCTTGCAAATTAATCCCAAAATTTGAAAGTTAAAACCCTTTTGATCAACGGCCTCATTATTTATCTAAGAGATGGGAAAACCAACAACATTTTACATCGAATAAAGGCAAGGAAGCGGCGCCAACTCATTGCTGGGACATAAATCATATAGCCAGTGGGATCGGCTTGAACATCGCCTTTGGACATCGGGCCAACGCCATCAGCTGTGTGGCATACAGGCCCAGGCAGGCAGGCAACATTGTTGCACGGTCGCCACTCACTTTGCATTGATTGCAACTGGCTTAAAAGGAAAGGTACAAGGAGAAGGAGGAGGTAGAAGAGGTGTTAACCCATTAATTATATCTGGGAAATTCTATAAGCAAGCGGAAATTGCTTAAATTCGATTTATTAAGTTAACTTGGGGATATAGAGGAAGTGGGTTATAATAGGAAAACAGTTTATAATTTTTGATTGATTTATAAACTCAAAAATTTAGTTGAGAAAACTATGAAATAATATTTTTTTATATGTGAAATTAATGTAAAGGCAAGATACTTATTTTTTAAGGTAACAAAATTTATCTAAAAAGATTAAATGGAAAATCTTTTAACAACCTTTACAGCTTAAATTTTAGTGCTGCTGCATGTTTCCAGGGAGTGCCATCCAGTAACTGCACTTTTTATAGTTTATAGCATAATAAAAAGGATTTTTTTTTGTTAAACTTTAGTATAGTCTTTAATGGGTTAAACAAAAAAAAAACCCATAGACTTGGTCCATTGGCGGCGGCAAGCGGCGTCGGTGGCAAAGTCAAAACATTCGCCCTGCGGTCGAGCACGCAAAATGCCGGCATCTGGATGGGACTCTGTTGCTCAGTGGTCTCCGATCTCCACCGATCTCTGTGAGGCTCCCACTGCACTTGCGTTCCAAATCCAATAAGGAGCGTGAGAAAATGCAAAGCGAGCTGTGCTAGGTGGAAGTGGAAGGCGACAGCATTTTATGGATGCTAGAGCCGCAGAGAGCAGCATTTGCCGCATTTTGTCGCTGCGGCAAAACTCAATTCGATTAGCGATAAATGCGAGATGCGAAAAATGCAGCGGCTGCCGCAGGTTGCAAGCTGCAGGTTGCAGGTGTTAGAGTCTTATAATGATGTTAACATTTTTATGGCCCACAACAAAATAAACTAAAAATTTGTTCAGCGCAATAATATTTTGCGGTCGCCGGGCTTCAGACTCGATGCCATATTTGGGGGCACAGCCAATTGCCGCTAATGTAGCTAAATTTACACAGAAAATAATAAAAAAATTAAAGAAAACCACTGAATAAATAAATAAAGCTTAATAAATTATTATTATCCTTGTTTTTTATTAAATTAAACTAAAATTAAAGCAAAATATTGTATTATACAAATATTTAAAATATTTTTAAATAGTTTTCTATAGAGTTTAATATTTTTTCCTCAATGTACAGCCTAAGTGGAATGCTCCGGTGGCCAGGGCTACCTACATATACTGATCTACAGCTGCACAAAAACTAATTAAAATTTTTGAACGCCATTAAAATCATTATGGACAATTTATTGGTAATTTAGGAAAATAATATAGGCCTAGAGGATTATTTGTGAAGCTTAATTAAATTTTAAAATATTTTTTTAAATAGAATTTATATAATATAATGTAAAAATCATATTATTTAGTCTAAATTTTAAATCTGTATTAATTACTAATATATTTTTATTGTGATTAAGCATTTTAAAGATTTTTAATTTTAATAAAAATTATAATAACAAAAAAAAATTTAAAATATTTAAATAGTGTAGAAAAATATTTAAAAATTGAAACAAAAATATAAAATCATGTTCTTTACCTAAAATAATTTAATACTTAAAAATTACTTATTTTCTTCTATGAACAACCTAAATAACACCTTTAACTTTATAAGAAATTAAGTAAATTAAAAAAAATGACCATATTTAATAACCAAACTCCTAATTAGAATTTATGGCTCTTTCAATTATGATAAATGGAATGGAAATAGATCTATACTTCCATGCGGGTCGATCTAATAAATTTATGGCTTCAACTTAATCCCTATATCTTGGTTATCCGCCGATTTTTAGCACTCGAAGAAGATGGTCCGCCATCCGCACCTTTAGCTTCAGTTTTTTTTTTGTAGGAGTGGCCCGGCAGTGCGGCAATTTATGTGACCGAAGGCCTGACGCCTGGCCACGCATTCATAAATAAAAGTCATCATTAATTAAGTTTAGTATAAACAACATGGCATGCCTGCAATTATTCACTCACTCATTCACTCTCAGCTGTCGACGACATGCCAAAAAATAAAAAAAAAAAAAACAAATATAATATAAATAAAAATAAAATATATACAAAGAAACCAAAGAGGCCAAAAAGGGAAAATAAATGAAGTTAAAGGAAACGATAGGAAAACGCACGCAATGTCGACAGCGCGCGCCGAGCAAACAAAACAGAAAAACATAAAAATAAAAAACCGTTGACAAAAATGATCTGTGGGCAATTATAATGAATTATTTTGACACTTAGGGCCTGTGCAAATGCATAACTAAAATGCATAAACGTAATTTATGCTCTGCCCCGCTCTCCCTCTTTTTTTTTTTACTTTTTTGCCTTTTTATGTGATAAATAAGTTTCACCCAAAAAACTTGCAATTCCTACGCAAAGAAAAATTCATTTTCACTGCAGGCGAATGGCATTTTTCACTTAGCTGCCGCCGCGCACATGGCATGGAAAATTGCGCAGAATCCGTTTTTAATTGGTGAAAAATAGCAAAAAATTTCAACGCCAAAAGGGTTGCGCCAGGTAGCTCTTGACCAGGTTTACCTGTGTGCTCACCTGTGCCCTGCCCAGCTCTGCGCCAGGCTTGGCCTGGCTTTCTGACTCCAAGGCGCGATTAACATCGCCCCAAAGATTCGCAATGCCAATAAATTGTGCACATTATGGCCAAGTTGAGCTGGCGGCCAAGAGGTTGGCCTGTGGCCCGCCATTGAAGTTGCAGGGATCATCAAGGGGTAACCTGACTTCCAGGCGAGCGGCAAAAATTGTAGAAAAAAGTGGGGCTGGATAAAAGGTTTTCCTATCTGATTATTACAAAGACAAATCAATTGTAAAATAAGCGAAGAAAATTTTGAAAAAAACTTAAGGGGAATTGTGGTTATTTATTTATAATTTTTAAAGTTTAGGTAATTTCCTTATCTGGAATGTTGGTTTTCTTTTCCCATATATTTCCTTAAAATCTTTTATTTCTTGCTCAATTCTGCGCTTCTAGAATTTATTCTATATATTTCCAATTCTTCGTCTTCAATGACCAATTGCCAAACCACTTTTAGAACGTCTAAAAGACCGTTAAAGTGGCTAAAGTTTTCCTTAACGGTGGTGGTGGTGGTGGTTGTGTGCTTTTGGCTTTTGTGGTTCCCAGGCGACTTGGCAGCCGCAGCAGAAACATGCGAGCTCTGCGGCTTTAATTGTTGCCGCGCTGTCGCCAAGTGGATTTTCTAATGCAATTTTCCAAAAGAGCTTACGCAATGCCCAGGCAACAGTCACAAGCAGCAGCAGCAGCAGCAGCTACTGCAACAGCAACAGCAACAATGGCAACATATTGCAATGGGCTGCTGCTGCTGCCGCCTTGAACGTGTTGCGCGCATAATTACTAAACGCAGTCAGTCGGTGAGTAACTGCGGCTTTTCAATCCCCATCCTCCCTCTCTGTGGTCCCACTTCTGGTTCTCTTTGCTCTGTGCCGATCTGAGCCAAAAAGTCCCAGATCCCCAGTACCAGTACCAGATTCAGTGTCTCAAGCTCTGGCAGTAATCATTCCGCACATACGCGCATATTTAGCATTTTTAAATTGTTGCATTTCGCGCATTTTTTATGACAGAGAGGGAGAGAGAGAGACTTTGATGCTTGCCCACCATCACTTTGGCACAGAGAAATCACCAAATGCACTGTAAAATATATATTAAATTTAATTATAGAAATTATTAAAAGATTTTATAAGGGATTTTGATTTTTTCATACGCTGAAATAACCATATTCTTCTATTATCAGAAAAATAGGCAAATAAATATACATTTAATGGTTGATTATATTAATATATCAAAGATTATTATTTTTGATATGATATTAACCTTATCGATATATTCCTTATCGAA